TTGGGAGACAGAAGACCCATATTTATGCTTAATATATAGAATCTTGTGTGAGTTTCTTCAAAATTCCAAATTTTATAAATCCAGCAAGCCAATAGCCCCCCTTTTAGTATTATATAAAATTTCAGTGTGATAATGTCTATGCATTAGTTTTTTAATCTGTTTTAGATGGCAGAGTAAAAAAATGCACTGGATAGAATACTTTCACCTTTATAAATAAAATATATTATTATCTCCAATGAACTAATGAGTTTAAAGATTTAATGGGGTGCTTCTTAGTTTGGCCAGTGATTTGTTGTTGTTCAGTCACTCGTTGTTGTTCAGTCATGTCAGACTCTTTGTGATGCCCATGGACTGCAGCTCTCCAGGCTTCCCTGTCCTTCCCTATCTCCCAAAGTTTTCTCAAACTCATGTCCATTGAGTTGGTAATGCCATCCAACCATACCATCCTATATTACCATGTTCTCCCCTGCCCTCAATCTTTCCCAGCATCAGGGTCTTTACCATTGAGTCAGCTCTTCACATCAGGTGGCCAAAGTATTGGAGCTTCAGCATTAGTACTTCCAGTGAATATTCAGGGTTGATATCCTTTAGGACTGACTGGTTAAATCTCCTTGCAGTCCAAGGGATTCTCAAAGTGATGTTTCTGCTTTTTAATACACTGTCTAGTTTTGTCATAGCTTTACTTTCAAGGAGCAACTGTCTTCTAATTCCATGGCTCCAGTCACCATCCACAATGATTTTGGAGCCAAAGAGAAAATAAAGTCTGTCACTGTTTCTGTTGTTTCCCCACTTATTTGCTATGAAGTGATGGGACTAGATGCCATGATCTTCATTTTTTGAATGTCGAGTTTTAAGCCAACTTTTTCACTCTCCTCTTTCACCTTCATCAAGAGGCTGTTTAGTTCTTCCTCGCTTTCTGCCATTAGGATGGTGTCATCTGCATATCTGAGATCATTTATATTTCTCCTGGAAATCTTGATTCCAGCTGTGATTCATCCAGCCCGGTGTTTTGCATGATGTGCTCTGCATGGAAGTTAAATAAGCCAGGTGACAATATACAGCCTTGACATACTCCTTTCCCAATTTGAAACCAGTCCATTGTTCCATGCCTGGTTCTAACTGTTGCTTCTTGACCTGCATACACTTTTCTCAGGAGGCAGGTAAGGTGGTCTGGTATTCCCGTCTCTTGAAGAATTTTCCACACTTTGTTGTGATTCACACAGTCAAAGGCTTTAGTGTAGTCAGAGAAGCAGAAGTAGATATTTTTCTGGAATTATGTTACTTTTTCTATGACCCAACAAATGTTGGCAATTTAATCTCTGTTTCTTCTGCCTTTTCTAAACCCAGCTTGTACATCCGGAAGTTCTCAGTTCACATACTGTTGAAGCCTAACTTGAAGGATTTTGAGCATAACCTCATGAGGGTGTGAAATGAGTGCAGTTGTTTGGTAGTTTGAACATTCTTTGGCATTGACCTTTTTTGGGATTGGAATGAAAACTGACCTTTTCTAATTCTGTGACCACTGCTGTTTTCCAAATTTGCTGGCATTTTGAGTTCAGCATTTTAACAGCATCATCTTTTAGGATTTGAAATAGCTCAGCTGGAATTCTATCACCTCTCTTATCTTTGTTCATAGTTGTACTTCTTAAGGCCCACTTGACTTCACACTCCAGGATGTCTGTCTCTAGGTGAGTGACCACACCATCATGATTATCTTCATTAAGACATTTTCTTGTATAGTTCTTCTGTGTATTCTGGCTACCTCTTCTTAATCTCTTCTGCTTCTGTTAGGTCCTTGCCATCTCTGTCCTTTATTTTGCCCATTTTTGAATGATATGTTCCCTTGAAAGTGAAAGTGAAGTTGCTTAGTCATGTCTGACTCTTTGCGACCCCATGGACTGTAACCTATCAGACTCCTCTGATCATGGGATTTTCCAGGCAAGAATGCTGGAGTGGGTTGCCATTCCCTTCTCCAGGGTATCTTCCTGACCCAGGGATTGAACCCAGGTCTTCTGCACTGCAGGCAGATGGTTTACCATCTGAGCCACCAGGGGTATCTCTAATTTTCTTGAAGATATATCTAGTGTTTTCCATTCTGTTGTTTTCCTCTGTTTCCTTGAACTGTTCACTTAAGAAGACTTTCTTATCTCTCCTTACTATTCTTTGGAACTCTGCATTTGGTTGGGCATATCTTAGTCTTTCTCCTTTGACTTTCACTTCTCTTCTTTTCTCAGCTATTTGTAAGGCCTACTCACACAACCATTTTGCCTTGTTGCTTTTCTTTTTCTTGGGGACAGCTTTGGTCACTGCCTCCTTAGTGTTACAAACCTCCGTCCATAGTTCTTCAGGCACTCTGTCTATCAGATCTAATCCCTTGAATCTATTTATCACTTTTACTATATAATCATAAGGGATTTGGTTTAGGTCATACCTGAATAGCCTAGTAGTTTTTCCTACTTTTTTCAATTTAAATCTGAATTTTGCAATAAGGAGCTCATGATCTGAGCCACAGTCAGCTCCTGGTGTTTTTTATGATGGCTGTATAGAGCTTCTCCATCTTCGGCTGCAAAGAATATAGCAATCTGAATTTGGTATTGACCATTTGGTGATGTCTATGTGTAGAATCTTCTTTTGTGTTGTTGGAAGAAGGTGTTTGATGTGACCGGTGCATTCTCTTGGCAAATCTCTGTTAGCCTTTGCCCTGCTTCATTTTGTACTCCAAGGTCAGACTCCCTGTTTCTCCAGGTACCTCTTGACTTCAAAGCATGTAAAAGGATAATAACTCTACTCAGATTTAAAATTATAGTGTAAATTGATATGATTTTTATAATCAACAGAAAAGGTTGATTTTCCCAAGGTTCTAGAGGCATTTATATATTTAACAAGTATTTATTAAGCAATCTACTATATGTCAGGCACTGTTCCTAAGTCCTGGGAATATAGCACAGAAAAAGATAATTTGTTATCATCATGGAGCTTACATTTAGGATGAAGTAAAACAGATAATAAGAAAGTAAATATATAAAATATGTAATATAATGTTTAGTAGTGATAAATTCTATGAAGAAAAATTGAGAACATAGTATGAGGATAAAGGATACTGGAAGTGAGGTACTATTTTTAATGAGATAGAGAAATTCTCTATGAACACATAAATGAATGAAATGAGGGATTAGGGCATGAAGCTATCTGCAGAAGAAATATTCTAGGCAGTGGGAACAATAAATGTAGAGCTCCTTGGGTAGAGAAATGATTAGTTTGTTAAAGAAATACCAAGGAGGCCAGTGTAGCTCAAATAGAGTAAGCAAAGTGGTTGGAAAGAAATGTAAATTTGTACCCAGTGGCTAGATCTTGTAAGATACTGTAGGCCATGGAAAGAAGTTTAGATAAAAGAAGTTTTATGGGAAACCATTAGATGATTTTGACAAGGGGAGTAGTGTGATACAACTTACATTTTTTAAGGGATAATCCTGTCTACTGTGTAAAGAATGGATCCTAGGGGAATAAGAATGGAAAGTAGGGAGACCAATTGGAACCTGGGAAGTAACTGCAATGCTCTAGGTCAGAGATGATAGTGACTTGGACTAGGGTGTTACCTGTGGAAATGGTGATAAGTATCCAGCTTTGGCATATATTTTGTAGGTAATGCCAATGGATATTATAGATGGATTGAATGTAAAGAGAGAGGAATTGATGATTCTGATGCTGAGCAACTGAATGAATAACAGTATCATTTACGGAGATGAATGAAGACTGGGAAGAACAGGTTTTAAGGGGAGGGTCATGAGCTCAGGTTAGGGCATGTTAAGTTTTAGATGCCTTTTATACATATACATGGAGATGAAAAGTAGGTAATTGGATGTATGTGTGGGACTTTTAAATGAGTTCCAGATTAGAGATCGAAATTTGAGAGTCATCAAGATGCTTGTATGCACGTTCAGTTGCTCAGTTGTGTCTGACTCTTTGCTATCCCATGGAATGTAGCCTGCCAGGCTCCTCTGTCCGTGGAATTTTCCAGGCAATAATACAGATGGTATTTAAAGCCATGAAACTGGGTGAGATCACTAAGGAATATAAATAATGTAGGTAGTAAGGGAAGAAGTCCAATGATTGAGCTTCTGGGGCTTTTCGACATTGAGATATAGGAAATGATAATGAACTAGCACAAGGAAAATTGAAAAAAGAAAGTTAAGAATGTGCAGTTATGAGTCGCCAGTATAATGGGAGAAAAACCCAGAGTGTATGGTATCCTGCAAATTAAGATGTTTCAAGAACGAAGTTTTCAACCCTGCCTCACACTGCTGATAGGTAAGGTGACAGAATACCCCTCCTTTCCCAGGACAGTCCTAATTTATGTCTGTTGTACAGAAATAATTGTCAACAGAATCCTTTTTCACTCTCAGAAATGTTCTGACTTGAATGGTAAATTGTATGGTAACTGGGATTGTAGGTCACAGTGAGGATTGAGAACTGATTATTGGATATACCAACATGGACATCATTAGCAATTTTGACAAGAGTAGTTTCAGTGGCGCAGTGAAACTCCATTGGATGGTGGAGATGAAAGACTAGCATGATTTCAAGAGAAAAGGAGGAGACAGCATTGATACAGTACCTGAAAACCACGGTTTTAAGGAATTTTGTAGCAAAAGGAATCATAGAAATGAGGTAGTAACTACTGAGTGATATGGTGTAAAGGGAGAATTTTATTTTGAAGATAGGAGATAGTACAGTATGTTTGAATACTGGTGAGAACATTCAACTAGAGAGGGAAATTTTTATGATAAAAAAGAGAAGAAAATTTTGGAACAATGACCTTGAGTAGAAGCAATAGGATATCATCCAATGGACAAATGAAAAGGCCAGCTTTAGATAACAGGATGAAGAGTTCATTGTGAGAATACCAGAAAAGGCAGAATTTATGGGCACAGATGCAGTTAGATATGGCAGTAGGAGTTTGTGGGAGTTCTCTTCAAATTGCTTTTATTTTTTCAATGCAGGAGACTTGCCTGGGAAATTCCATGGACAGAGGAGCCTGGCAGGCTACAGTCCACGGGTTCGCAAAGAGTCAGACAGCTGAGCAACTGAACGTGCATGCAAGCATCTTGATGACTCTCAAATTTCTATCTCTAATCTGGAACTCGTTTAAAAGTCCCACACATATATCCAATTGCCTATTTTTCATCTCCATGTATATGTATAAAAGGCATCTAAAACTTAACATGCCCTAACCTGAGCTCATGACCCTCCCCCTAAAACCTGTTCTTCCCAGTCTTCATTCATCTCAGTAAGTGATACCACTATTCACTCAGTTGCTCAGCATCAGAATCATCAATTCCTCTCTCTTTACATTCAATCCATCTATAATATCCATGGGCATTACCTACAAAATATATGCCAAAGCTGGATACTTTTATCACCATTTCCACAGGTAACACCCTAGTCCAAGCCACTATCATGACCTAGAGCATTGCAATTACTTCCCAGCTTCCAGTTGGTCTCCCTGCTTTCCATTCTTGTTCCCAATAGTTCAAACTATTATATGCAGAATGGATAAACAACAGGGTCCTACTGCATAGCACAGGGAGCTGTATTCAATATCCCCTGATAAACCATAATGGAAAAGAATATTAAATAGAATGTTGTATATATATGTTTGTGTGTATCTGAATTACTTTGCTGTACAGAAGAAATTAACACACTGTAAATCAACTATACTTCAAAAAACTAAAATTAAAAAATATGTATACACACACACACAGTGCTCACTTCGGCAGCACATATACTACACACACACAGTGGAATACTAATCAGCCATAAAAAAGAATGAAATTTTGCCATTTGTGACTGACAACATGACTGAACTTGTAGGCTATTATGCTCAACGAAATAGGTCAGACAGAGAAAGACAAATACTACATGTTATTACTTATACACAGAATCTAAAAAATAAACTGGTGAATATAACAAAAAAGAACAAACTCACAAATATAGAGAACAAACTAGTAGTTGCCAGTAGGGAGAAGGAAATGGGGAGGAACAAGATAGATGTAGGAGATTAAGAGATACAAAGTACTATGTGTAAAATAAATAAGCTGCAAGGATATACTGTACAGCACAAGGAATATAGCCAATATTTTATTGTAGTTGTATAACTGGAGTATAATCTTTAAAAATTGTGAAGCACTATGTTGTACACCTGAAGCATGTAGTATTGTAAATCAACTATACCTAAATAAAAAAAATAGAGAAAAGTTTTTAAATTAATTCATTTAGTTTAATTGGAGGCTAATTACTTTACAATATCATGGTTGTCTTAGAAGTGATTTCTTGGGTATAGCACTAAACTCACTGGCAACAAAAGTAAAAATAGATAAATGAGACCATATCAAACTAAAACTAAAACATTTGTGCACAACAAAGGAAATAATCAATGGAATGAAAAGGGAGAAAATATTTGCAAACCATATATCTAAGGGACTCATACCTAAAATATGCAAGGAACTCCTACAACTTCGTAGCCAAAAAAAGAAGAAGAAAAGGCAAAGGACTTGAATGGAAATTTCTCCAAAGAAAACATACAAATGGCCAACACGTATATGAGGTGCTCAATTTCACTAATCATCAGGGAAATGCATCAAGGTTTTCCCTTATGTTATCTTCTAGTTTCATAGTTTTGCATTTCATATTTAGGTCTGTCATCCATTTTATGTTGATTTTTGTGAAAGATGTAAGGTCTGAGTTTAGATTCAGTTTTTACATGTGGATGTTCATTTTCTCCAACACTATTTGTTGAAAAGACCATCTTTGCTCCATTGTGTTGTCTTTGCCCTTTTGTCAAAGATCAGTTGACTGTGTTGGTATATTTCTGGACTCTGTTCTGATAATGTTTCATTGATCTGTTTGTCCATTCTCTCACCAATATCACATCATTATGATTACTGTAACTTTATAATAAGTCTTGAAGTCAAGTGATGTCAATCCTCTGACTGTTCCTCTCCTTCAATATTGAGTTGGCTATTCTGGGTCTTTTGCCTCATCATACAAACTTTAATATCTTTTGATATCCACAAAATAGCTTGCTGTAATTTGGTTTGGGAAGAGCTGGTTAGGAAGAACTAGTCTCAATGAGTCTTCCTATCCATCTACATGGATGCTCTCTCCATTTATTTAGTTCCTGTATGATTTCATTAATCAGGGTTTTGTAATTTTCCTCATATAGATCCTCTACATACTTGTTAGATTTATACCTATGTACTTTATATTTGAGGGTGCTAATATAAAAGTTACTGTTATTAATTTCAAACTTCACTTGCTTATTGCTAGTATGTAGAAAAGCAATTGACTTTTTAATATTAACCTTATCCTGTAATCTTACTAGAGTTGCTTATTAGTTCCAATTTTTTTTAATATTCTTTCAGATTATCTACATGGACAATCGTGTCATCTGCAAACAAAGGCAGTTTTATTTTTCTTCCCAATCTGTATCCCTTTGATATCCTCTTCTGGTCTTAATGCTTTAGCTAGGAATTCCTGTACAAATTTGAAAAGGAGTGGTGAGAGAGGACATTCTTGACTTTTCCTTATCTTAGTGGTAAAGCCAATTCCTAACCATTATGTGGGCTTCCCTGGTAACTGTATGTTTCTGTATATTTCAAGTCAAGGAAGTTCCACTCTATTGTTAGTTTGCTGAAGCAATTTTATTCTTTTGCATGTGGATATCTAATTGTCCCAGCACAGCTTGTGAATGGACAGCACTCTCAACGAATGGTGATTGAATTCCAGTTAATGAAATCTAAGTGTAAATGATGTGGACATTCTTGATTAAGGATTTTAGGAAGCAGGTGGACAACTTTGACTCCTATTTACCATTTTGTTGACTAGACACAGACTACTGTGATGCCCTATAATAGTGAGGCATAAGTGATGGTTAGGTAATAAGAAACATAACAGAAGGTACTATGGACTTTTCAATATCTTCTGTTTTGAAGTTACTTTGACATTCAGTTAACTGCCAGTATTTGCTGGCATTTTGGAAATTCAAGATCTCTTTTCCTTGTAAAGTTAATAACCATGAGCTCACCTCACCAGCCCCTTTAGTTCTAGAAATCCTCAAGGGGTATTTCCCATGTCCTGAATTTTGATGGTTTTCACATGATTTTTCCATATGTGGTTGGCACAGTATGCTTTACTGTCAAGCACCTAAGTCCCTCCAATTGCTCCCTCTAATTTGTCCAACCACTACCCATACCCAGAGTCCTTATGATGGAATTGACTACTACTCTAAACTTTAAAACCATGTTGGAGAACAGACACTCTTTCCTCTTTAAGTTATACTTTATAAGTGGAATCTGCACACCAGAATGTTACAATTTCTTTGCAGACAGTTCTTTTTGGGATAACTTATGAACCTGCCTTTGTTTTGATAGACATACAGTTGAAGATATATGTTACAAGAGGCAAAAACAAGAGCCCTAATACCAGTGCTGCAATTATCAATAGAATAGCTAAACTTCACTAATGAAAAGGCATTGTTCCTGGGCTGAGGTCATTGTGCCTGGCTTTGTTTTCCCTAAGGATAAATTCTCTTAAAGAAGAACCCACTGTAAATGTAACCTGAAAATATTCTTGGGTCAAGACGCCCCATAAATTCTTTAGATGTGCTTTGTCTCAAGTAGCAGACACAGTTTAGAGCTTTCCTAGAGGTTCTTCAGTCTCTACTGAAAGTAGACAACTGTTGAGCCAGTTTCATAGTTTACAAGAACCCAACCCAGCCTGGAACTCAGGAATAGGAGAATGGATATATTCTAAGAATACATAGGGTTTGGATCAACCTTGAACAAAAGGGAGATACCAGAGGGAAAGTTTGCCTGAGGCACATGAAGGACAGAACAAAGGTAAGTTAAGCCAAGTGGGCAAAACTAGGTCTATGACCATGATGATTGAGAGGGACAGGAGTAGATCACTGAAGCTGCACAGGCAAGGTATATGTTAGAGTTCGTATGCATGGATGTGGGAGGTGGGGTGGGTATAGTGAGGCAGCACAACTGCTTCTGTATCCCAGGCTTACTGGTTTGGGGATTATTTGGGGGTGTGGGGAGAGAGACAGAGAACATGAAACTGGGGCCCTTCTTTTATGAGGGTCCCAGCATAGGGAGCCTAGGCTTCCTCCGGATGTCTTTATTTCCTAATTTAAAGCACAAGAATGGATAGTAGCCTCAAGAATGAAAAATCAGGATCTCTTAAGGACTCAGTTAACTAGGTTAACCAAGGCTTTCTGAAAGAGAGAGCTTCATGAGTGGGAGTGGCCTAGTTCCTTTTCAGATCCATTCTGTAGCTGTCTTAATATGTTTATTTAGATGTTTATTTAAGATGGATGTCTTTTGAAATGGATGCCTTTGCAACTCAAAAGCTTAATGTCAGGCACTTAAAATAAAATCAAAAGGTGTAATGCCCAGCATTTACACCACAGAAATTTAGATTTCAGAGGCTAGTCAGGATTACACAGGTGCCATTGGAGACACTGGAGGGTGGAACTGTGGGTGTTGCATTCACACGAGAATCCATTTTACAAGGAAGTAAATACAGTATTTTTAAATACAGAGAAGTAAATACAGTATTCTGGCCTGGAGAATTCCATGGACTGTATACACCATGGGGTCACAAAGAGTCAGACTCAACTGAGTGACTTTCACAAATTCAGTATTTACATAAAAATGAAGAGGAACTAAAGAGCCTCTTGAGGGTTAAGGAGGAGAGTGGGAGAGCTGGCTTAAAACTAAATACCAAAAAAAACTAAGATCATGGTATCTGGCCCCATTACTTCATGCCAAATAGAGGGGGAAAAGGTGGAAGTAGTAACAGATTTCCCCTTCTTGGGTTCTAAAATCACTGAGACTGGTAACTGCAGCCATGAAGTCAGAAGATGTTTGCTTGTTAGCAGGAAAGCTATGATAAACCTAGACAGTGTATTGAAAAACAGAGACATTACTCTGCTGACAAAGGTCCATATAGTCAAGGCTATGGTCTTCCCAGTGGTCACATTTAGTTGAGAAAGCTGGACCGTAAAGAAGGCGGAGCACCAAAGAATTGATGCTTTTGAACTGTGGTGCTGAGGAAGACTCCTGAGAGTCCCTTGAACAGCATGGAGATCAAACCAGTCGATCTTAAGGGAAATCAACCCTGAATACTCATTGGAAATGTCAGGGGAGTGTGTAATTTCCTCGGTTCT